AGCCGTTAATTTCTTGTTTTTTTTTTTTTTCAACAAAATGTAAGAATAATACGCGCGTGTTATCCTCTTGTCCGTGCGCGAGCGAGCGCACGAAGACGCACGGATCCAATATTTACCCCCGGCGAAACGTATCGTTTAAAGCGTGCATACTTTTAATTTAACCGCGAATGATCGTCGAGCACGGCTCGTATTTTTTACGTCGCCGCGTATCCCGCGTTTATCAATTCTCCATAAACAGGAAAGTTTCTCTCGCCGGCATCCCCCGGGCGCTCAGTGCGAAGTTTGTATGGAAGATTTTCGCGGCTGTGATACAATCTCTTTCGCGTCGCGCCGCCCGGCGTCGAGGGCGGACAAACGGCTGAAATCCAGGAGCAAAATACATTGCGCGGAAAAAGGAAGAACGAGGGAAACAAAAAAAAAAAACAAAAGGGAACGCGCGGCAAGGCCGTGCTTCGATGGTCGCCGAAGAGTGCGTGGCGCGTCATCCAATATTTCTAGCGGGACACGATGTGCGTTGCGGCTCTTTTTTTCCTTCTCTCTCTTTTTTTTTTACATATCTCCCTGTCTCCTCCCGACCGACTCCATTCCCGATATCTCTCGGGTGGACCGCGCGGCGTGGGCGAAACGCATAACTTTCATCCTCCGGTTCGTAGGTAACGCATACATTTTCGGTGCCGGCAACCAACAACGCGGGACACATAGCGGGCTCCGAGACTCTCGCGGCCAGGGACGGTTTTAGATAGTAGATCAACGCGATCGGCGTGTTTTTTTCGGGGGAAGATACAAGAAGGGATGGAGAAATGCGTGTGGCATTTCTAACAAGCACGCACACGCATGTGACACACAGAATATATACGTATACTTTCCAATTAGCGCGCTTACGACACTACTTATTCAGTTAGCACTCGTCAGAGAAACGGTCAAGGGATCTTGCGTCCAATTGGAGGTGTGAAGAGGAAAGAGTCGAGAGAAAAAGCGAGAGGGTAGTTCTAATTATATATAAACGTGATTCTTCACAGAGACAGAGAGAGAGAGAGAGAGGGGGGGGATATGTATTCTCCTCTAACTTCTTACGATTCTCCTACGTCTCCCTCGCAGTTCAAGGTAACGGCGCGTCCGCGCGACGATGCCCAGCCCTGGGTTTCGTACATGTGCGCGCATCCGAGGTAAAGAACGATATATAGAAAGAAGAAATAACTCCGCGCGATAATTCAGGGGTCTCGGCCCTCCGCCTCGGTGCTCTTCCTGTCCTCGTGAGAGTAATGCCGGCGGGCCCGGGCGCGACCGAAAAAAGCGTCCTGTTTTCTCCCTCGCCTTGCGCACCGTTCTTTTTCTTTCCTCTCTCTCCCCCTCTTTCTCACTCTTCTTCTCTCTTCCGCATCTCACTCGCGCCGTCCTATTAAAGCGCGATCTTACGAATCTCGAGCGCTCGACCATTCGGCCATCGACCAATTGTCGCTTCGACAGTCAGGTCTGGTCCGCAGCAGGTCGCGTCGTTGTGCTGCCGTCATGAATGAGGATGGCAGACGGTTTTATGCGGTCATAAGGAGGGTGGCGATACGGATAAACGCGGTGGGTAACGAATGATGTCTTCGTGATATTTCAACCGTCTTTTCCCGACCGCGGCGCTTTTCTCCCTTTCGCACCCTGTTTCTGTCTCGACTCTCGCGCACTCTTCCTCCGCCGTGCTGCTTCCGGGGTCAAGATTCGCGGGACGAGGGAGGACGGCGACAGGGGAGCCGGGACGAAGGCGAGAAAAGAAAAGCGACAAAGGGAAAGACAGGGCGTGCGCGCGCAGGGGGCAAAAGATAAATTGCGGGCGTAGATGTGCCGCTATAAAGAGTGTGCTGACCGGTCCATGACGCTCCCGCGGTGACTCTATGTTTAAGCAGCAAATCGCACATCGGAGATTCATGAGCGAGCGCAATGCGCAGCGTCAAGGTTGCTTTGATACATGCCCGCTAGTGAAGACGAATAGGATTTTTATTCCATCACGCGGAGGTCAGTGATGGGTAAGATACATTTAAAATGTATTTAGATACAGATACATGTAAAAAATGTAAAAAAGTGTATCTAGATACAAATACAGATACATAAGTTAAAATGTATCTAGATACAGATACTCAGATACTTTAAAAGTATCTCAGGTACATTCAGATACTTTTAATTATATTTTATCGTAATAATGATATAAAATATATATAAAATATATATAAAATATATTGAACTCTTTTACTTTTTATTAATATTGTTTGTTTATATAAAAATTATATAAGTTACTCTGTAGTTTTACATATCAAAAATGCCTCAAACATATCGTTACTTAATCTATTTCGCTGCGGTACTAAAATTTGATCATCAACGCTACAGTCCGCTCTGTAGTCATAACATATGTGACGTTTCGGCGCTTACGGTGCCCACGATTGGAAAATGGGTCATCATGAGCATCGTAAATGCGATATTCGAATCAAACCGGCTGAGGACGCCTTGAGCATCGTGAGCGCTGTGAATGTTTCGGAGCGCAGCTTAGTGGAATATGTGACGCCAGTAAGGCCATAGACAAATAAAAAAGGAACAAACTTTTTTCCACTACAGATAAAAAATACGAAAAATGAAAATAAAAATATATCTGAAAAGTCGTTGAGATACTATGTTTTGTATCTAGATACAGATACTTTAATTCGATTCGTATCTCAGGTACAGATACAGGTTTAAATACACAAAATGTATCTAGATACTGTATCTAGATACTACCCAACACTACTGGAGGTGCATTCGCACTTCAATGCAATCGCACTTCGATGCGTCTTTACGCTGCGATGTTCGACTCATCAGCTTTCGCTTCATGATATCCGCGGGGTCTTCTCGTGTCCGTACACAGTCGGACATAATAGCCTTAACACGCAATGCAACTAAGTTATCAGGATTTTCTAATCGTACGCGCGTTATTAATTTATTGTCTTTTGATTATTCAAAGGAACAGGAATAATACAAATAGTTTAACGTTCAATTAATATGAAACCATGACACAGTGAATCGTATATATCACCGTAATAGTTTCACATTAATATCAAAAAACAAAATGTGTACGATTGGAAAATATTAATTTAATTATGCTGCGCGTTGGAGTCATTAAACCGAAGGATATATATATTCGGTTGTAGAACGATTTAGAGGCAATGAAATTGAGAAAGCATGGCAAACTGTCGAAATTGAGAGTCGAAATTGAGAGTTATTATCAAAGAGTTCGCGCAGTAATAATTAAATTGATAATTATAAATAATAATAATTAGTAATATAATTATTGCACAAGCCCGTCGATAATAACTCGAATTTGGTAGTGTATGTGTGTATGTTTGGCGGAATTTCAATTCCATTCTGTCTAAAGCGTTTTGCAACTCAAGTTCTTATCCCGAATATTCTTTTGTCGATTAAAGTGCCTCTAGATATAACTTACAAACCTTCCAATTGACTCATAAGCACCTTTATAAAGGCGCTTTTATCGATAAAAGAGAAGTTCGAGTAAGAGAATACTTATACGTACATCAATTACTTGGACGTTCTGGAGATAAAAGCAAAGAAAAGAAAGCAGACACAGCATTGGTGAAGATGATCGTTAGAACGAATTCATAGTTAGTTTGCCTCGTATCGTTGCGCTCGTTCGATACTCGGTCTCGTACGTTTCTCCCGACCAGCTCGATGCGATTATTGCGCGAACATAAACAAGAGTTTTACTTGACATAAGGAGGAATATTACTTTCCTCAACTTTTGTGCGTATCGTTACTCCCGAATCTTGGCGCGATCGGTGCCAGTCTCTAAACAACCGGGAACTTCCCGCAGCCGTACAGTTGCGCGGAAATTTGCACGCGGGCACGCGTAAATCCGAACAAAACTATCTGCTGTGATCTAAAGCCTTACATAGCCGAAACTTCCGAATCTCTTCGCCCACGAGGCATTCGACGAAACTTTGACTGCATCTAAGAATAGTCGCGCGCCAATTAATCCGCGAGTACATTTTAGACGTTTGCACTTCATTAAACGCGCAATCGCGCGATTAATGAGATATACGAGATACCGCGGTGCGAATTGCGGCCAAGTTTCGCGGGGTTAATTGAGCTGTTAATTCTGAAAGTGGCGTAAGTCAAGTTTTGAAGCGCCGTAGATTAAGACGCGACCGCGGTCGCAAATTGATGATACACTTATTTTAATGAAAATCTTGGAGACCCGCGCGGGCCTCGCACGCGAGGCAATGTGTGCGCATGTTAGTTGAAATCAAGCGGACGCAATTTAGCAGCGCGCGCACAAACAACAACATCGTCGTTTCGCCGTCGAGCGAATTCAGCAACTGCGAGTTCGCAGCGCGTTTTTAATTATTTCCTTTTTCTTTTTGTGTTTTTCACGAGCGAGCTGCCGCGGAATGCGCGACAATAAAGTCGCTACGAGATTGAAATGCGCCGCGAGAAGAAACAGCGCTTAATATCCGTTGTTTGAACGGCATTTCCTGACAAAACTTCATCGCTTGGGCGAGAAGGTGTGCACCCCGAGATCCTGAGAACAACCGAAAGTTCAACTGCGTTTGAAACAATTACCGCAGGATTAATGCGAACAGACGGGAAATACACAGTAATGTATATCTCCTCCGTATATACATATACATATATATATATATATATATATATATATATATATATGTGTGTGTGTGTGTGTGTGTTTGTTTGTGTGCGTGTATCATGTCCCAGAATTTCGCGCGATGCTTTAAACGTCGCTGGTCGATGTAATATGTTCAACTGATTGAAGAATGAAATACTTGAGAGATGAAGCTCGTAACAGTCCGGCCCGCGCGCTATTGTGTGTTGAAATATCGACTCATTCCTAACTACAATCGTGGGAGTGGCACAAAGCGCCGGCCACGCCGTTATATGTGAACCCTCCAACGCTATATGTATACCAATATAAGGTCTTATCGTTTTTATCATACTTTCTTGATAGTATGTCTTACACATCGCTCGCGTTGGAACTAATCGCCTCTTCTTATCCGTAATTCACCATCGACATTATGTGACTCCGAACTTCACCCACGAAAGTGGCCGGGCAGCTGTAACAAATTAAGAGGAATCGCTTTAGATAGTAGTACTCGATAAAACGGTGACATTAATAATAATAACTTTATAGTGCGCGCAATCAGTGTATAAATAGAGCTCATGAAGAAAACTGAGATAACCAGACAAAGAAAAACGATGAAAACGCACGCGAAAGGTGTGTAAGGGTTGTAAAAGTTTGTAAAGGGTTGTAAAAGCATTGCTCGTGAGTGCTTCATATGGAACTCGAATTTCTGTCATACAGAATGACGAAATAGAAGTATGAAAGGAATTTGAAAAAAATTATCAAAATTTTCTCAGAGCCATATGTGAAATGTGATATGAAAATCTCTGAGTGCAACTCTCAGTGAATTTCTTGCTGCATGAATATAACACGGAAATTTACATTATTGTATAATGTAAATTTAATAATTAATTCATCACAGAATACACGAGAGAGGATATTATAGTTTTTTGTTCATACAAATTCTTTTTCAGTTTTATTATGTTTCCAGTATTCCTGAAATATAAATAACACGTGTATAAAACGTAATACATTACTGTAGAATCTTGATCTGTTTCTCTGTTACTGTAAAATTCTGCAACAGTTTTCACTGTAAAACTCTCTCTATATATATTTGCTTCATAAGTATAATTAGAACGATTACTGAATTTTCATCATCGATTGCCTCATGCGTCGTGATAATCGTGAAAGTCTGTCTGAATACAAAGCCCATCTTGAAATAACGTAGCAACTTTGCTGCAAATAATGACGCGAGCGATCGAACTGAATTATTTAACGGCGGATTCGCGCGATTGTCGAATATCATAACAGCACTGTCGGCATGATGTTAATTGCACTATGCTATTTTCAATATACGGCTTTGACGCGATTCGGCCATTCGGTGCGTGCCCATGGCCCCCGGTATTGGCTATATTATGCCGATTTGGTCCGCTTTGTGCGTATACAATACTACTGTTGTACCTCCAAATCGCGGTCTCTGAGCAAACGATCGGCATAACATGCATCGCCACGCAATTCCACAGAACAACGCCTGCGGCCGACGCAATCTACGTCGGGAGCATCTGCGAGAACGGTCCACCTTCTGGGTGTGAAGGAACCTCCTGGAAGACGCGTGTTTTTTGCGGTGTACCACGCGTGGCGATGTCGCATGTACGACGACCGCGGCTACCTGGGGTGACCGTATCTTTGTCCACGCGACTAGTACACAATAGAGGACGCAAAAAGTGGGACGTTGAAATTAAAAAAAAAAGAGGGCAAAAACTGGGATGTTTATTGGGATCTTTTCTCTCTCTTTTCCTCGCACTTTTTGTTGTAAAAATCATTTTATTGTTAATCGAGGTCGTACGTGAATTATAGAGTTACGTGCGGTGACCCGGATATTATTAACCCTGAAGAGGTCGCGTAGTCGACGCGTGCCCCATCACCTTCGCTCCAATATCTGACCCCGATGATGAAATCCGCAATTTAAGCAGGTTCCCCAAGGAGATTTCGCGTTTCGATGAAAGTATCAGTTCGACCGTTCAGCTACTTCTCAAGGGTCAGCGATGATCGGTTGGTGGAGCAAAATAAACCGTGGAATCGAACGGGGTACCTCCTAGATTCGTGCTCGTGTACCGTGAACTCGCGACTTTAAGACGAAAAGAAGCAAATTGGAAATGACGATGTGAAAGGAACGAGACGTTTGCGGCTATATTCTTGACGTATATTTGAACGCCTTTCTGATTCTCAAGATAAACTTGAGAACTTTATACGAGACGCTCATGTAAGGAAAACGGGATTTGGAATAAAAAGGGCGTACTCTTAACGTTCGAATTAAGAACGCGATCCCTGATCGTCTGGGGTGCGTAACGAGTGGCGCACGCAGGGTTCGCGCGGTCACGCGACCGCCAGTCGAGGTCGGTGGCGAGGAGCGCGGTGCGCGTCGACAATCGTCTTAATGCCGGCTGAACGATGACACGTAACAAACCGCATTCAAGAAAAAAACTTTCGACAAATTGAATCCGAAGGGCTCGAAATTGCCGGTGGCCCCTACCCCCGCGGGAAGGGGATGTCTGGAATAAGATCACGCGCGGCTTTCAGGCCGTGTGGATGCGTGCCGAGGGGTGCGGGCCGCTCGTGGCGGCGGCGGCGGTGGCACGGGAACGTTTGGTAAGCGAGCGTCCGGAAGAAAGAGAGGACGAGAGAGGAGTAGGACACGGGGGGAATCGGCCGTAGTAGGAACGAGACAACTCGGCGAGAGCGTGATACGGAGGAAGAGCGAAGGAGCGAAGGTGGTGGTGGTGGCAGTGGAGGTGATAGAGGAGGAAGAGGAGGGGGGAGGAGAGGATAGCGGAAGGGAGAAGCGGCGAGATGGTGTGGTGGGGATGAAAGGGCGGCCGACGCAAGCGCGACTCGCGACAGAACGGCTTCGCGCGGCGACGCTCAGTCTCGTCCGTCGCAATCCAGTGCAGATATACGTGCAATTACCTTGTCAACAGTGCTTAAAATCTCCGTTCGTGCTCTGGTGGCCGCGCTCCTTGGCACGCGGTGATCGATAACACACACCGTCGATCGCGATCACCGTCTATCGCGACGCGATCCCGACGCGAAGGAGAGAATAATATTAAAAAAAAAAACAGATTGAGGTGAAAAGAAACACACACGTAGGCAAAACACACACCCTACAAAGGAGTGGGAAAAGGGGTAGTAGCGAGCGAGGGAGATCGCGGCGAACAGCACGGAGGGTAAGTTGGAGGCGCACGGACGTAAATCCGAGCGTTTCCGGCACGGCGATTTTGAATCGAGCGCTCTCTCGGTGCGTCGCGTGAGAAGCGTAGAGACCGGCGAGGGTGAAAAGTCTGACAGCTCCCCAGTGAACGGCGTGTCGCCCGGTGGCGCGTCTCATTTCGACAACGTGCGTCGAGTGGTAACGTCGAGTGTATCCCGCGTCGCGGGTGTGCGACGACAACGACGGTGACGTCGACAAGAAAGACGACGACGGCGACGACGACGGCGGCGGTGACGAGGACTCGTCGAAACGGTGACAGTAAACGACGAGACAAAAGAGCATCAGTAACGAAGCAGATGTGGTGCCGGGTAGTTCTGCCTAGTTCTGTTTGCGCGACCTAACTGCCGCGGAGGATTCGCGCGAGTATACAGTGTCAGTGCGCGTCTGTGAACCCGGGACCCGCTCTCGTGAGCAAGGAGGATCCTTCCATCCCGAGGAATTCGCACGGCGCTATCGAGATGAAGACTCGCCACCTGTGGCTAGAAGCAACCGTCGTTCTCATCGCAATGACAGGTAAGCGGTCGCGTGCGACCCGTCCATCGGCCTGAGATTCTCCTCGAACGTTCTCGAGAAAACCAAAAAAACGTGGCCGCCGCGCGGATGTTCTGTGCTCGGGTGGATGGGGTGTGTGTATATATATGCTGTGTGCTCGCTGGAGGTGCGCCTAGTCGCGCATAATGCCGCAGAGCATCGCGAAAGGGGCCGATGTGTTTTTCCTTTGAACGAACGTGCATAATTTCGGATCGTGGGATCCTCGAGTCGATTCGCGCCGAAATTACGACATCCGTTATCGTATTCCTGTCGTGTGGTATCATCGGCGCGGTGTGTCTGCAGTGGTAAAACGATTTTCCTTTTTTGCGCTGGAATTCAGCGCAATATGGCGCGAAGCTAAATATCTAAATAACATTTCGTTATCTCTTATTGCGCCACCGTCCTTGCGGCATGCGCTTAAAATAAATTTCACGAGACGATAAGAACTTTCCTCGCTACGCGCGGCAACATGAATTTCTCTTAAACGAGTTCTGTAAATGTACCTCGTGTTGGTTTCTCTCTCTTTCGGATGGAGAATATAAAATTATATCTATGACAGAAATATCGCTATTAATATCGTAGGTAAATCATTAATAGGCGATCGGTGATTGTGTTAAATGGAATATTGAACGTGAATAAGTTTTTCTGTATTTCGGTGAGCATTTGGTTCCACACAAGAGTCTTACCATTCGACAAACCGATAGTTCAAAATTTTCCAGGAGTTACACTCGTTTTTGACTACACGTTTCTCACCACTCTTAATTAATATAGAAACACGTTCCCGGTTTCTGGATTAATCAACAGTAAGAAATGCATATAGCTAAAAACAAGTATGATTGGTCGAAAATGTATAGCAACTATACTGAGAAAAAATGCTTGAAAAAATATAAAAATTAATGAAAATTGTTTATTCTGTGGATATTAATATCTACTGAAATCTAAATTTCTTTATTTAAGTAGAATAAACAATTGCTTTAAAAAACAACGAAGGTTCTAAAAAAGTGTATATTATATGAAAAAAATATTTTATATCAATGTAAATAAATATATCCTATTAATATCTACTGAATAATTCTTTATTTTTTAGATGCTTTTTTCTCTCGGTGCATCAAGCTGTCAATGGTAAAAACTTATGTGAAATTCAGGAAACACCCTTTGCTAATAGATCGACGCTACCTACCAAGATTCTGCGTCACGCGTCATATTATCTCTGTATCCCTTTAGTTACCATTGCATTTCTAATTCCCGATTAATAAATCCGGCGATCGTCCGGTTCTACTTGTGAGTCGATGGCGATAGCAAGTGTAAGGAACGTTAACTCGGTACGTCGCGACAAGCATTAATTATACATTCCGAAAAATGACGAGATTGTTTACTAATAACGCTCTCACGATACGTCTCGACAATCCTACATCCCTATTTTTTATTCTCTCGATACTTACTTCCGCGCGAGACTCACTTTCGTCAAACTGACGCATAGAACGCCAAGCAATGTCGATTGATATATTAATAGGGATTGGTCGATGGAAAAAGATCAAAGATAAGCACACCATTGCTCACGTACTCCGACAATTGCCGCCACGAACGTTGTGACGCTCCTACACTACGCATTCCTTACATTCCCGCACCCCTCTTCTCTCTCTCTCTCTCTC